CTTGCCATCCTTCAGCGCGTGCCATCCGCCATCCTCTTCCTGGCCCGATCTCGAGATGATTCTGCACGTGTGACGAAGGAATTGTCGTTTTCGGAAGGAATTCGAGGAGGACAATTGGCGCAGAGAGTTTTTCTTTTTTCTTTTTTTTTTTTTTTTCCATTCAACCGTGGGAATTCAGCAAAAGGGAGTTTCACTTTCAAAAAAGTGTCGCGAGATTCGATGAATCTTTGATCGATTCATCAGACTCAAAAATGAATTTTTCAAGCGGGATAGATGTTTGGATACGGTAAACAGATTCCGTGCTGCTCCGTGCTGTTGATGGTTCGATCCAATCCGGAACGGAACGTTCGTTAATATTTTATAACGGGAGGGAGGGGAGGGATAGAAACTTTGACGGGTTGCTTGCGAACGTTCATTCGATTTCAATAGGGACAACAAATTTTTCATTCGCCGCTTAACAACGACGCGAACGATTCCTCGTTTCGATTTTTCCCAAATTTCTCATCTAAACCGATAGAATATTATAACAGATGCGGAAAAAAAAAAAAAAAAAGAAACAACTTTTCGAAGCCCCGAATTTCGAAAAAAATGGAAAGAGAAGAAAAATAAGAGAAGAATCGTAGGAAAGAGAGAGACAGAAATCGAAATCCGTTTTCCGACGAGTCGAAAAAAAAGAATCGCGTCAAAGACAAATTGCTCCGTGGAACATCGACTTTGGTCTCTTCTCTCCTTTCTCTCCTTTCGCTCGGTTAATATTATTTTTGCCCGAGTACACCTGCCTTCGAAATCGAATTCGAACGGGTGTGACAGAGGCAGCTCGAAGGGTTGACACGCTTCCCGACGATGTCACCAACCGAGCCGGAGTAATTTATCCATTTGCCGGCTCTGATCGGAGCCGAGAGCGAGAGCGAGAGCGAAACAGAGAGAAAGAGAAAGAGAGAGAGAGAGAGAGAGAGAGCCATCCAAGCCCGCCGTGGGCGGTAGAGTGTTTCAACCTCCGATCTCAGACGCGATCTCCCTTCTCTCCCTCCCTCGTGGAGAAGGAGGCTTGAACGCCCCTTCTGCACAATCTCCTTACCTCGCAAACGTTTGCTCGATCCTCCTCCTCCCTCTATCCTTGAGGCGGCTCGCGGAGCAACAACCTGTTATAGCGGCTCCCTAATTTGCATTTACACTTTAAACAAACACGCCAGCCAATGACGACGTTACTGCGGTTTCCGGGTAACCACCATCGGGTTACCTAATGCATCAAGTTCTCTCCACGCTCCCTTTGTCCCGAATTCTTAAGCGGTTCAAGGATAGGTGAATGTGTCGTTTGTTGTTGGCGAGCTATCGATTTTATTTGGTATGCGCTCGATGGAATTTATGTAAACCGATTAATTTTCCAAGGTAAATACCAGCTAGATTTAGATTCTTTTGTAGCAAGGATTTTTCTACCATTTATTTATTAGGATTTTACGATATTTATTACTGTTCAACCTGTAGTTTAAATAACTTTTTTTTTTTTTTTGTTTTGGTCATAAATCTGTATCTCAGTATCGATTTTTACGTTGGACAATTTTTTTCTCCACTTTTGTTTCATTAGAAATCATTCTCGTCGATGTCATCCCTTCTAGAGATCTCTTGTTACCCTATCAAACGCGTAAAAGAATCCAACAAAGTATCATCTAGGAAAAAGGAAAAAAAATATAGATATCCACCCTCTGGTCCTTCGTCTCGATATCATTATCCTATATTCGATATTCAATATTCGAGCTATCCATCTCACAAAAAAAAAAAAAAAAAGATAGAGATTCCACTTTGAAATTTCTTTCTCGTGCGTGTCTTTCGCGTATCACGATGAATTACTCTTTCGAATCTCGATAAATTCTATTAAAAGAATCCAACAAGAAAAAAAAGAAACGAAAACATAGCTTCTAAAAAATGATCATCCCACTCTTCGAAACTTCAACTCTGTAGAACCATGCCATCGATTAACTTCCTCTCGATATCAACGTTCTATATTCGATATTCCCTCTCACTCCGCATCCTTTTGAAAAAAATAAAGACTCCACGTTAAAATTTCAATTCTCTCTTCCTTGAGAATCTCGATAGATCCTATGAAAAGAATCCAACGAGTTAAAAAAAAAGAAACGAAAACATAACCTCCAAAAAATGATCATTTCACTCTTCGAAACTTCGACTCTGTATCCAACCATGCCATCGATCAACTTCCTCTCGATATCAACGATCCTACACTCGATATTCCCTTTCACTCCGCATCATCGTAAAAAAAAAAAGAAACAAAAACATAGTAGCCTGCAAAAATTAACTCACTTTTTCCTTCATCTCCCTCTCCACATCTCTCTCTCGTTCTACATCCTTTCACCTTTATTCTTTCGAAAAAAAAAAAAAAAAAAAATATCCACACGTTGAAATTTCTCCCATACGGATTGTTCCGTGCCACGATGGGGTTACATTCACGTACGATTGTCCCTTGAATCCCGCAAAGCAAATCCGAAAGCGTGGCACGGCGCCAAACGGGGCGTCCGGAACGATGCGAGTTTTCGGGGCGGGGGGTCGCGCGTGCTAAAACTAATTACGCGTACGGCTATCGGCCGCTAATCGAACGAGTGTCCTCCCCCCACTCTTCTCTGCAAACCCCCCCCCCTATCTTTTTGAATATGGCGGTGTCATCCCGCGCTTGGCCGCGGGAACCGGATACTAATTATAGCGGGGAGCAGAGCAGGGTGGATGGCACGTGGTGCGTGGAAACGCCAGGTTTCGCGTGGCACGAGTGCCGCTAATTCGTATTTAAAGGTTTATCGGTCGCGCGACAATTTCACGGTTCGCAGAATCCATCTGACAGGATGGAACCCCTTCCCCGGGTTTCTCGGTTGCGGACCGCGACGAGATTCACTTCCCCACCCCAAATGCGAGGGATGGGAAGGGGGGAGGAGGAGGAGGAGGAGGAGGAGGAGGATTGGGAGGGTAGAGGGACGGGTAGAGGGTCTTAGGAGGGACAGAAAAGTGCGAGCGCGTCTCACGTCGCCGTGCAAGTAATTTAACTGGCGAAGTAGTCGGTAATAGTCGAGGGACTGTATAAACAAAGCTGCTGGTTAATTAATCAGTCTAGGAGCGAGGTAATGGCTGTTGAATAGATTCCAGATTAATTATCTTGCCGTTTCTTTGAGCCTCTCACCCTTTCGCCTTGGGGGTGAAACTTTCTCTTCGATCGTCAGAAGCGTGTGCAACGGGGGAAAAAAAGGGATATTGGGAAAGGATTTTGGGAAAATTTTCCCACGAATTCTACAAATTCGTCCCGAATTTTTAAATTTGATTTTCACGTTTGCCTTTTGTATATATTGTATACGTATATATATATATCGAGATGATATCGAGATTAATGACGGGCCGTTGCGATTATCATCCGCGTAAGGTCATTATCATCTGTTTATCGATGACCAACTACATCGACTACTGTGTCGATGCTTCATTAGATCTCTAATGAAGCTGGCTACAATGCTCGCGTTACGCATCGGAATTCTGTTCGGAAAGGGCATGAGGTATCCGTCATATCTGAATGGTAAAATTTCGAATAATTTCTCGATTATCCCATTTATACGATCATATTATCGTTATCGGTTTATAGATACATTTTTTTCTTTTTTTTTTTTGATTTATCTTTTTTGGATCCACGATGAATTGTGCAAAAATACTACACTATATATCGGACATAATGATTCATATCTAGCTTCCATACTTGCACGTATATATGTCTAACCTTTCAGTCTCAGGATAGAGTTTGAGTTTGATTTGTAAAGTTATGCTTAACGAGTGTTCAGATTCGCGGGTATTATTACGCTTAAGAAACGTTCATATTATTTTCAAATTGTATTTAAATTCCACGGGGATGGAATGTAATAATTAATTTTGCCCAGGGATCAAATGAAAATATTTCCACTTGAGGACGAATCCTTGTTAAATTTTTCACAAATGATACAAATCCACGAGAGAGGTCCAAGAAAATTTACCGTCGGTGGCCCGTAACATTTTCACCTCGTTCCCCTCGGTCTTTCCCTCACCCAGATCCTGCTCGTCTTAGGGTAATAACAAGGGGATCTAAGAGGCATTTTTCATCCGCCCAGTATTTTTTTTTACTCGACTGCTGCTAATTCACACCGCTTACTTTCCCTCTCCCTCTCTCTCTCTCTCTCTCTCTATCTCTATCTCTATCTATCTCTCCTTCCCTTGTCAGATTCTCTCCATCCTCCTCGCCATCGTTACCTCCCCCTCCCTGAAGCCTGAGCAAGAGTGGTCGGGAGGGGGAGGGCGTACTTTGTTCCCTTCCAGGCTGGATGCAATTTTAATCTCGAATTCCGAGAAAATTACCTTGCCGTCAGAGCCGTTTAAGGGGCTACTAAGGTGAGATTGCCCTTGCTACCTGTCAGCCGGCTTGACATATACTATATTATGTAGCGAGATCGGCTTTTCTTGAAAACTATTTTCGTTTCCCCTAATTTCGTTCCCCGTTATCGTTTTATCGTGCTGCGCAATGGAAATCCATATAACGGAATCTACTGGCCTCTTCCTCCTCTCGTCGATATTATAAAATATCAAAGTCTCCTCTCCTCTGTTGGACAGCTTCTTGCTTCAAGTTTCACAGGGATGGAACTTCGAAAGTGGATCCAATCCACAGGATTGGATAATATTTCTTAATAGGAGGAATAGTTTTTATACCGTTTAATAAACGTTTCGACTTCGAGACGTTTGCCGGCACATTTGGTTTAAACAGCGACGCTATATGGAAGAGAGAGAGAAAGGGAAAGAGAAAGAGAGATTCTACGTACCTGTGCCGCCTCTCGCGCAATAAAGGATCTCCTCTTCTCTGAAAAGTGTGACCACGAGGAGGAATGATTTTTATACCACGTTTAATAATAATAGTAACAATAACGACTTTATTGCCACATACATAAATAGATGGACATGGCCGATGTACAGCGTGTGCAAGCTGGATCACGCAACCGGATCCTTTTACAGTGAACTACACTTGCGCATCCCATTTTTATCGCGAAAACGCGCTCCAAAATAAAAACGTTCCTCTAATCGCGACGTGTCTCTCTCTCTCTCTCTAAATCGTATCCAGAATCGGGCGAAAAACACACACACACGCGCGCGCGCGCGCTATGAACTATTATATAATCTTAATCGCAGCAAGATACATCCTTTTTCCATACATCTCTCTTTCTCTCTCTCTCTCTCATTCACTCACTCCATATTTTTCTCATCCATCGTCCGATCGGGCTGAAAAAAGGAACTGCAAATCGTTGCCTATCGACTGGCCACGCGACGTTTGCGCAAAGAAACCAGCAGGAGAGACTTGGCCGTGGGAGCAAGGGGGCTCGATCTAACAGGGGGCAGAGACAGGAACGAGATGACGAGATTCGATTACCAGCCGCTCACTCTATCTGATAATCAGTATTTCGCGTATTTTAATATACAAGATATACATTCGCTCGATCGGTTCAATCGGGATATCGAATTGAATCGAATCGGCTCCTCTTTTCTTTTTCTTCCTTTTTTCCCCGTTTGCCATACAATCTTGTCTCCTCGCGAGGCGCCGAGACGCCTCGTCCATCCACGGGATCCATCAGCGGGATAAAAAAAAACAGCGGAACAACGCTGGCGACGAGTGCAAGCGTCCACGCGCCAAATTTCTAAAATTTCGAGACACAGGGCGCGAGAAAGCGGGAAGGCCGATCTCGAGGCTCGGACTGGACATCGCCATCTGCCGTCGATTTTCCGCAAATTCTCGGCAAATTTCGATCACCGCCACCGTTTTCGACCAAATCCACCGCAATTCACCGCGTCACGAGCGGCCGATTTCCAAGTGGATCCCGTCCTCTATCGTCCATTTTTCGAGGCGTAGTGGTGGTAGTAATAATAGTAGTAGTAGTGGTGGTGGTAATAGTGGTAATAGTGGTGGTGATGGCAGTAGATTTCTAGATCGTGGTCCTAGGTATTAGCAAATCGATTTGTCCGCTTGGCACGTCCCCTCGGATCTGGCGAGGAACAGTTTCCCGTTAGCACAGGCACACAACTGATAGATGGTCGTGTCTCTTTGGCTCTGGTGAGGGGAGGACCCTGTCCTCGGTGAATGCTGTTGCTGCTGCTGTTGCTGTTGCTCCCTGGACGAGTGGCCTTGGCTCGGGCTGGCCGTCTTCAACCCTTTCATGAACAGAGTCTTCGCCTCCAGCTTGATCGCTCCGTGCACGCTCTCGAGTTTCAGATCCGTTAGACAGGAAGCCGAGATCTCGTTCGCCCACGACTCGATTGCCACTTGTTGGGGGGCGCTGATCTTCAGGGATCTGGTCGCTGATTCCAATCTGTGGAAACAATTATATATCACGCGCGTAAGATGCAATTTTTATCGAAAGTTTTTTAACGTTTATCATATAGCGACGCTTCTATCGAAAGTTCGATCAGTTAGAGTTAATGATCATTTCTATGAATCATTATATATATATTTTTTTTATTAGAATATATAATTTCGAGAGGATGAAATCACGAGCCTTAAAGTATTTTTGTTTTTTAAAATACAAATTTCCGTTCGAGATAGAACGAAATTTTAATCAACTATGAAATAATTAAGTTTCAATTAATCCATCCCGTGTGTGAAAAATATTTCCATCGCGAAGTTGTGCGCAAAATATGAAAGAAAAAAAAAAAAAAATGATGATGAAATTTTGGAAATTGATTTCACGCGCACAAAGTAATTTTCTCATCGAAAAAATAAATTGCTCTATATATGCATAACCCATTACACGCTCTACGTACACGCGAAATTTCATCAAAATCACATTTTTCAAAATAAGCTTCCTTTTCTAAAAGAGGGAAATAAATAAATACTTTTGCGACCGACTGTATCTCATCGATATTGATCTCTTTGAGTATTTGGGGGAAAAAAAAAAGAAAAAAAGAAAAACGATGAAAAATGCAATCCACTCCCAGTTAACCAATTTCCTAAACAAAAAAAAAAAAAAAAAATATTCCCTCTCGAATTTCATTCATTTTCAACTACCCAGGAAACGCAAAGAAAGAGACAAGTTATTAATAATAATAATACGAAGAAACGGACAAAATCTCGAGCTCGTCGAAGATGCAGTTGCAAGGGATAAATAGGGATCGAAAATTCGCAATATCGCGCGACGAAATGATACGGCAACTAGCCGACTTGCAACGTCAGGTTTGCAATAATCGATCCTTCTTTTCTAAGAAAGTGGTAGAGCACCTTTCTCGATCGTCCTCTCCAATACCCCTCCCCCCTCCGTCCTCCATTCAACCCCCCCACCACCCGTCATCGTCGTCGACCCATTGCTCGCAGCCTCCAAACCCGTTTCGGATCCTCCTCCGGTATTTCATATCTGGCATAAATCCAATCCTATGAATATAATTTTCCGCGCGAGCAAAGTTTTATTGTAATCGTAAATCCGTCTGTAAATTGGCCGACACTATCAATAACCGCGCTTCCATATCCGCTTCGATCCATCCCTAAACTTCCGTACCTGTAATACGCCATATTCTTACTAATATAACGCAACGAACTGGCTGGTTTCCCTCGCGATAAATCGAAGGAATCGATGTTTCGAAATCACTCGAATATGACAATACGGGCTTAAGGAGCGCTCGTGATTGGCAATATAAAAATTTGGTATTGGAAGAATCCTCGAAGATTCGTGGGCAAACTACTCGTTCTTTTCCGTTGTTAAATCGATGCAGAAGGAGATTCTGCATACGCAAGGAGATTAAATTTTTGCAAATTAAGAATGCAAATTGCACGATGAGGATCGTTTGTTTCGAGGGACGACACGTTTGTGGGGCGAGTTTTTGCGCCTACTCCACGCGCACGAATTTAGTTCTTATTGGATAGCAACAAGTTTAATCGCGTCGCGCGTAAAACGACGGTGAATAAGAACGGTTTACGAGCCTTTTGTCAACCAGCATTCCCATCGATTACACGATTTCACACCGAACCCGCCCGCCGCTATATATTTAACCGTGTTACCGCGAAGTTTAATCCCACGCGAGTGTCGGTCGCAGTCGGTATCCGACTCGATTATTTATAACCGGGCACGGGGCTACAAGGAAAGTTGATTGGAATATCGAAACGCTATTTATATCGACGCCCTACGTATATCGGGGATGATTATCGGGGATGGATGGAGAAAGCTGATGGAAAATTCAGCGCTCGGATGGTCGGAACTGGGTCGAAGTCACTTTTAGAAACTTCTGAAATAAATGTGGGGCGCAGAAAAGTGACTAGTTCGAACAAAATCTCTATTGTGTACGTTAACTTGTTCTATCATTTAAGTATATTATCTTCGATGATGATATGACATTTAAGAAAATTGTTTATATTTTCATACGACCTTTCTATCTTCCTTCAAGTTGATTCTTTTTTTCTATGACACTTTGTAATAATTGTTAATCTTCGACATTACCAAGAATCGTTTTATAAGGAATTATTTACTTTCAAACATTCACGAAGGAATTGATGGGATTGGAAAGCTCTCGAAGAGGAATCTTCCACGTTTTCTTCACTATTTTTATGCCCCCTTCAGATTCGAGGAAATCTGCTCTTATTATATTCGTAGCGAGATATATCTGGTTTTTTTCTTTCTTCCTTTCTTTCTTTCTTTCTTTCTTCTCGCGATTACCTGAGGCCACGGCCAGATTCCCCTCTGACCAGAGGCGTTTGAACGCTGCCCTGGAAAACGGCACCCCCGTCGCCGGTCACCTTCAACATCTCCGCCCCGACCACCACCTGCTCCCTGTCCACCGAGAAGAGAATTCCTCCTTGAGGGTCGGTTATCCGGAAGCCTCTCGACACGCAGTCCACACGATCCTCGCCTGTAAAGTGGACAAAAGACACTCCGTCTGCCATTTTCCGTCTCGAGCCGAGGATTGAATGAGTAAACGGGCGGGCGAGAAGAAAAAGAAAAGAAAAAAAAAAAAAAAAAAGAAGAAAAATATCTTCGTTCGTGGAGAACGTTCCAAGTTCGTTAAATCTCGTGGAATTGGAAATCACGTTTTTTCGTATCTCTACAACGGAATGTAATGGAGAGTTTAAGTTTCGTCGTGTTATTCGTGACACGGAACGAATCTTTCGTTTACTTATTTATTGTACGTGCTTCGAATCGACGTGCTTTAAATCGCCCCGAAGAACGAGCAATTAATTCGAATCGTTTCGTGTCGTTGCACGTGTATATATATATAGTGTATAAGTGTAGCATTTATTTGAATATTTGTGTTTGGGGATGGGGGAATATATACGTAAATGTGTAAGAATTTTTTTTTTCTTTTTAGACACTTTTAGATAGTCGAAGATGTTGTTTCCTTCCGGGGGGAGAAATTGAACGACTTTTGTTCGAGATTTTTTTTTCGAAATTTTAATCGCCGTCGACGTTAATACGCCGGAACTTTCGACGATTTAACTTCAAAGTTACAAACGTGACTGAAACGTTCATCTCCATTAACGACGCGTGTATCTCACCCCTATGTTGTATGCCATCGATATCCGATCCTTTTGTTTTCCACGAGGAAAATAATCGGTGACATTAAAAGGAAAAAGGAAAAGAAAAAAATTGGCGGAAAAAAAAGAGAAATAAAAAGAAATATTCGTCCATCTTGAAAGGGAACGGGATTTCGAAGAGAATTACTTCGCGATCCTGTAAAGTCTTTCGCAAACCCGTGTAAATTCCGTTTTTTTCATAGGATTTTTTTCATCTCTCCACAGAGCTACTGATGCTTTTTGGCTTTTTTTTCTTTCTTTTTTTCCTTTTTCCTCGAGGATTTCAAGCCTCGAAAAACCTACAATTTCACCCACCCAACTTTTCTACATTTCGATTAAATACCAACCGTGAATTACAAACATTTCGCGATTCGAATTAACTTCGACCACAATTTTAAACTCGTCCCCTCCCTCCCCCCTCCCCTAGATTCGATCGGAGAGCTCTAACAATTGGCGATCGCACAAAACACAACGAAAGAACGATCTCGAAAATCGGATATCGTTATATCGAGAATTCGTTTCCAATTCTGATATTATCGTCCGTTCATTATTTTTTAACCGCAAAAAAAAAAAAAAAAAAAAAAAAAAAAAAAAGAACCGAATCGATCCACGAACATTGGGGGGAAAAAAACATTGGACATTGGAAAATGGATATGTTATACACTCTTACCAACTGTGAATCGGGCGAGCAATCGGCCATCGTGCGACCTGGCCGACGCCGTGAAGTTGTTCCACGACTCGAGAACCAGATTCTTTCCCCGTCTGGATCTGAGGCTGGAGGCCACCAGGGCATCCAGGACGGCGGCCTGACCTCTGAGCTCGATCCCTCCGGGCACCACCTTCAGGGAGCCGATTCCCTCCTGAAAGGAGAGGAAATGACTGTCAGGAAATAAACGAGCCTCTCTGCGTCGGCTCTCCCTTTCTGGGTCGGGATAGATCGTCGAAGGAATAAGGAGAGGAGGCCGTAGGCCTCCCCCGCGTTAAAATTCGTTCGCCTCGCCGATTTTAACTGCGCTTCCGTTTCCTTTCCTCTCTCTCTCTCTCTCTCTCTCTCTCTCCCTTTTTTCTCTCTCTCCCCCATTCCTTATTTTTATTTTCCCAACATTTTTATCCCACGAACGAATGAATAAGAGATATATTTTGATATACTTCCGCGCCATGATTCAACAGCACGAAAATTAAATACCACCGACCGACATTATTGCCGTTTCAGACGGTTGAATAATAAATGCTGTGATGAGCCACGGGGGCCCCGCTCCTACGCGCCACAAATCCCTCCCCCTCCTCCCTTTGCCATTGTGATCGCGGGGGGTTCGTTTGAAATATTTCCCGCATAATATCGGAACAGTGGCGCGGGCAGAATTTTATTTCGACGGTGGCTGTTACACTATGGTATCGAGCTGGTGCTCCGCTTAAAAGAAGGGGAACGCTATCGTGTGACGAACCGAGGAATGCGTTATGAGCCGAACATATCGCGCGCGCATACTTGAGACCCAGGCATACCAAAGCCACCTAAACAAACTTGGTTGGCAACGTGGTTCACGGTATATTTAAAAACTTAGCGCTTAGTTTTTCGCGAGCGGAGGAATTTCGTCGAATATGTTTTCCTCTTCTTTATTTTTCGTCTATTTAGACTTACTTACTTTGCGCCTCGACAGCAACTCTTTTTTTAACACTCTTTTGAATTCGAATCGTAGAAGCGTGCAGTGCAGATTCCATAGCTATCGTGAGTTAAATAAATTTTGAATCTCAACAGATATAATATCTTTGTTAGTAAAAAAATGAGTTCCTTTGCAGCGAATTTTTATACGAGAGGAGAATACGCCATTGCAATTGTTAGATTGAAGAAAAGAGATGTGTCATCAAGCAGTTTCTAGCAGTGGCTGTAGGTCGTCTGACACCTGGTCATTCACAATGCTCTCCTCTTACAATCATTATTAATTTAATCATGAGCGAAGAAGAGGAATTTTTCGTCTATTTAAACTTAATTTTCGTATCTTTTAACTCTTTCGAATTCGAATCATAGCGGTACAGATTTCAAAATTATACATTTTGAATCTCAACAGTGAATGCACTACTAAAAATGATTTCTTAGCGAATTTAATCACGAGCGAAGAAGAGGAATTTTTCGTCTATTTAAACTTATTTTTCGCGCCTCTTAACACTCTTTCGAATTCGAATCATAGGAGCGTGCAGTACAGATTCCAAAACTAAACATTTTGAATCTCAAAATAGAAATCTCAGATATACAGTGAATGCATTATTCCTTCTACTACTAAAAATGACTCAAATTCTCCAGCAGCGAATTTTCACGAGAAAAACTGCAATCGTTAGATTAGATACCAAGTTTCTATTAATAGCAATTGACCCGCGATCAACTGGTTCATTCACCGTACCCTCCTCTTGCGATCTTGTTATTAATTTAAATACGAGCGAAGAAGATAAATTTCCAATCTGTGGCTATCGTTAATTTTATATTCGAACCCATAAACACCAAATATTCTTCCGCGTACGCGTTCCATCCCCCTTTCGAGCGCCGCTTCATTTTCCACCCCTGCGAAAATTCAATTTCGCGTTACATTAATTGCACGCCGACGTCGAGCGTTGCGTCTCCACGCTCTTTGTCCCTCGTGTTTTTTTTTTTTTTTCCTTTTTTTTTTTTTTTTCCAAACCGTTCCAGGGGCCTGTCTATCGTGATCGACGATTCGTTTTTTACGTCGATCGAAAGTGGAACGCCCGACGAACTCTCGCGGTAATTGCGTTTCAAGCGTTTCGACCGACTTCGAGGCTTATATCGTCTCTTGGAATAGAGATAGATAGACAGAGAGATAGAGATAGATAGAGATGAGAGAGAGAGAGAGAGAGAGAGGAGAGATTGCTGGAACTTGAGCGACGAAAAATTCATCCTTTTTTTTCCCTCGCCTCTGTCCCCCTGTACACTTCGTATACACGTGTTGTACACCGTACAAAGTCGTCTCTCTACATTGGTTTCCGATGATTAGCCACTCGATTGGAAGCAATCGCCGCCACGCGCCAGGCCGATTCCGCAGTTTCCATTTATTATAGCGACCGATCACTACGAAATGTGGCCACCGGTTGGATAAACGCCAGTAACCCCCCCTCCTCTCTCCCCTTACCAAGTCTGACCGGGCAATCGCGGCTTTCGGATTTTCTGGCTTCAAAACGTGTCCCAGAGAGGATGGAGGATCCAGAGTGAGGTCGATTAGGTCTTCGTCGATGTTGGCGAATTGGGATGGAATCCCCCCTCCCCCCCCAGGGGAAAAGACGATGGTTTTAATCGCGGTTGGAAGCACGAGGAATTGGACGGGCACACGAGCAAGTGTGGGCAATTTTTGAAAGGGGAGAAATAGGAAAGAGGAATTTTTTCAGCGTTCGAGAAGCGTTCGAAAAGCGTCGTCGGGGCGCGTTAAGGGACGGATATTAAAAATTCTGAGTGATTTTCCTCGCGAAAAATGGAGGGCATAACGCCGGTTTTAAGGTTAATTTCGGCCGATCGTTACTTTCTACGAGCCTCCTCTCCTCCCTTCTCGTCTCAGCTAATTCTCAGAACGCCCTTCCTCAAAAAAAAAAAATTTCACCCACCAAGGGAACGTTTCGGTGTTAATTCTCGCAGCTAATTTCCAACGGTCGGATACCGTTGAAACTTTCCCCTCTCCTCCCCCCCTTCCACCTTTAAGAATAATTAATTCTTCTCTCTTAAAAAAAAAAAAAAAAAAAAAAAAAAAAACAATCTTCGTGGCAATCCGGCTCGATGCCCCTCCTCTCTCTTTTTCATTTTTCCATACGAATTAAAAAAAAGAAAATAAGAAAAGAGGAATAAAAGTAAGAAAAAAAGGATCGAATAAACACGTCGCTCGATACGAAGGGCGAAGCCAGCGCGGCGTAGAAATTAGCAATTTCAATCTCGTCCACTCCGTTGCCGGGACCGAAACTGAAATTAACTCTTAACAGCGTGACAAATTAAAAGGACGACGGTGGCCGTTAAGGGGAAAAGGGCGTTTCGACGTTCCTTGGTGAGAGAGGAGGGGGGGGGATGGATTCTAAGCCCCGATTCTTGTTTAAATTCCCGCAACCGGAAGCGGTCGGCGGATGCGCATAGCTGCGGCCGCGGTCGTCCCCTCTCCGCCATATCGCGGCCGCCGCTCGATTAGCCAAATCGTTCGGAAAACGATACGATCTCTTTGCTCTGTACTTAACCGTAACCGTAAACCCCAATGGCGTCGAGAGGGCCGTAGCCGTGACTGCGTTTTAGAATCGTCGTAGCCCTCGAAAGGGAGGGGAGTCGATGGTCGCGAAGCTAAAAGGCGGAAACGTCGTTAAACTTTTTCACCGCGCTGCTGTACCACCGAAAACTGAATTTTTCTCGTTCGAGAAAATAATTCGAATGGATAAAAGTCGTGTTTAGTTTTCGATCGAAGAAGAAAGAGAAGAGAGAGAGAGAGAGAGATTTATTTGCCTCGATTCGAGTCGAGTGCATGAATTTTTCGCGACGAGGATAGTTCGTCGATAGACTAGGTGTCGAGATAATACGAATACGAATTCGATCTCGAAGGAAAGTTCCTGCCCTCCGGTGGTAAAACGGATATCCGGGTCGCGATCCAAAGAGTGTCTCTCGACGTGTACCCTATCTTTGAAAGCGTGCACTTCGAATCTCGTTTCCGCTCGCGTTTCCCAGCCCAGACCCGTTTAAATTCGATTTTTCCGAGTACATATTTTATCCAGGACCCCCGTCGATCCTTGTGCTCGCGAAAAACGGCCAGTTTTCCAATCGAGTTTTCCCCGAGTTGCCCGGCGAAAAACGGATTTGCGAATAATCTAATAACGTTAATCTGATAACGCGCCGGTCAACGAGAGAGTTCTGTTTGAAATGAGACGCGAGTTACGACAATTCGCGATTCCAATGTCTTCCTCTCGATCTATTCTCTTCGAAATACCTGTCCAAACAGATATTTTTACCCGAGTTCAAATCATTTTCTTCATCCATCCATCGTTTATTATACTCGTTTCAAATACTCGTCACGAAAATTCCACGCTTGTCCTTCTCCCACCGGTTTGAAACTATAATCCAAATCGTACTTTGTTTCGTAACTTTGTAACGAAACGCGAGAAAATTTACGCCCCGACATAAAATTACGGATCTTCCTCCTCCCCTCCCCCCGACTCTGCAATTTACATATGAAACTCGTATGAAATTCGACGTACACGCAAAGTCGACTTCCAACCAATTAATCGGGCCAGATAACAGCAATATCTCGGGCCCATGCGATGCGACGAACACCGTCCAATAATCACAGTTATGAAAATTAATCTATCGACACGCGATCACCCCGCTTCGCAACTTTCCTCCCATTGTACGCTATTGCGAATGGAGGGGGGGGGGGCGGGATGAAATTAGCTCGATTCGATTTCGGGATGGAATCAAATCAGGATTCCCCACCGTTTTCCCCGAATATTATCCGCGTTTCCAGTTATTACGATCTCCCCCTCCCCTCTCCCCTTTTTTTGTAATTCGACGCATCATACGCCAGAATCCGTTGAAATTGCCCTCCCCGCGTTTATTCCTCGACAAAGATACTGATAATAATAATATACCGTTCGTTTATTGCTCGCGAGATTTATGAACGAATTATACGGAGAAATTCCGTGTAGAAACACTTTTCCTTTAATATTAAATAAGGCTCGCGCCTTACCTCAACCTAAACAAAGGATTATCTGAAGAGAAGACCGTGTTTGTTTTTTTTTTTTTTTTGGGAGTTTAGTCGACACTTTACAATTGTATAGGCTTCAGCCTGGATCGATCCCAAACACGACGACTCGATTAACATCATTCTAGGAAATC